AGTTCTTAGGTGCAAGGTCTTCAGGTTGTCTCCTGCTGGGCTCTTTTAAAAGCATTTGTAACACAGCCAAAGACATGATCTTTCTTTCTGTTGCAAGTCCCTGTGTCGATCTAAAACTGTTTTGTTATTTTTTTCACTTGCCCTGTCTGTCATTCCACAGCCATTTGTTCTCTTCTTCCCTGTCCGCCCCCCTCCGGTCGTGGTCTCCAAGGAAGATGGAGAAAAAGACAGGAAAGAAAAGGGCAGAGGGATTCTTAGAACAACTCTTCAGGAGAATGGGGACCAGACAGATGGACAGCGGGGAAGGCACCTGCCTTGCATGCAGATAATCAGTGCTCCAACTCTGTCACTTGGGTCCCCGCCAAGGAGTGATCCCTGAGCAAGGAAGTAAGCTCTGAACACAGCTGGGTGTGGCCTCAAAAACAAACAAACAAACAAACAAGGGGCTGGAGCAATAGCACAGCAGCGGGTAGGGCGTTTGCCTTGCATGCTGCCGACCCAGGTTCAATTCCCAGCATCCCAATATGGTCCCTCCGAGCACCGCCAGGAGTAATTTCTGAGTGCAGAGCCAGAAAAAAAACCCTGAGCACCGCCAGGTGTGACCCAAAAAGAAAAAAAAAAGATAACAAACAAACAAAAAACCCACAAACAATTCATTCAGGACAGCCCAGACCGGTTTTCTTTAGGGACAGTGGGAAAGGGTGACAGGTAAGAAGCCCTCAAACCTCGAGCTTTAGTGTCAGAAGCGACTCCAGAGTTTTCAATTCTGCTGAGAGACGGGACTGCAGGTGTGGCTGATGCTGATGAAAGGTCCCTGTGCATTTTGGGACCTGAATTCGCTTTAGGAGCCTGATGGAAGTTACTGGAAACTAAGCAGACAGAGACACCCTCGGCTCCTCGGGATACTGGATGAGCCTGTTTTTCAGAGGTGACTCGCTCTCCATGAGACACCGACTCTGCTAATTGACCAGTGTTCCTGGCTTTGCTTGACATGAAGGCATTTGGCAAAGCAATTCTCAGAACACTAGTGTGTGGCAATTACTGAATTTACTTCTTTCCAAGTCGGTTTGGGTAAGACACACACACACACACACACACACACACACACACACATTTTCAGCAAGTATTGGAACACTGATCTGGAGTTATAATATAACTGACCTGTGGATTGCTCATTACTTTCTATTGTTACTGTTAAATGTGTCATTGTGGAAAGTATTATTTATCTTATTATCTTTTTTTTATTAATGTCATTAGTAGCTAAACGTACCTTTCTGTAAATGTGTCTGTACATTGGGATTATAATGTCTGTATGTTACAAAATCAAAATCCTGTAAGACTTGTCTCAGCCTTGTTTCACAACTGCATAATGAAACACGCTCAAGCTAATGTAACAATGCTCTCTGCCCCAAAGATGATATGTGCATTAAAAAAAATCTATGTGGCATTATTATAAGCACCTGTTATTCATAATAATTTGATTTTATAGTGGGTTTTCAAGACAGTGCATATAACCCATCCACTGAGCTTTATTTACTCATTTGATAAAGACGCACATTTTGACTAAATATTAAATCTACTCTAAGAACACTTTTGAAATCTTTATTTTGCCACAATTCTTCCTACGACTAATTAGAACAATCTCATGTATATCACACAAAAATCAAACTTTTAAAAAGCACACTCTAGGGGTAAAGGCAGCTCAGATAGAGAAGGGAGCACCAAATAAAGGGTGCTGGGAAGATCCGCCCAGGATGGGAGATGCATGCTGAAAGTAGTCTATAAACCGAACATGATTGCTACCCAATGTCTCTTCTGCAGACCACAACACCCAAAAGGAGAGATAGAACAAAAGGGAGTGCCCTGCCACAGAGGCAGAGTGGGTTGGGAGGGATGGGGGGTGGGAGGGATACTGGGATCAGTGGTGGTGGAGAATGGGCACTGGTGGAGGGATGGGTGTTCGATCATTGTATAACTGAAACCCAAGCACAAAAATTTGTAAGTCTATAATTGTACCTCATGGTGTTTCACTAATAAAACAAAACAAAACAAAAAAAGGGGGAAAAATGACTAGTAGTTGTTCGACTGATCCCAATGCTATATGGTATTAGTGTTCTAAGCATAAGGTGCCTCGAATGTTCTCGGGCCGCCCTGATGTGCCAACACAGCATGGCCTAGACGCCTCCCTGCCCATTTGCCTCGACTTGTCGTTTCTCTTAGGGTGTCTTTGCAACTCACTTTTCAAAACTGAAATAAACAGTTGGCCAATGAACAGCTGTTTACACATTGTGCTTCTAAGTTGGGAATTTCCCCTCCAATGCAGCACCACCAAAGTATCTGTGGGGGTCGGGGGTGAGGGGAATCCGAGCCTCTGACATACATCCACTTTCTGCATGTTTGTCCAGTTCCTGTCCCTCTTATCCACTCCCCCTCTCTGTGGCAGTCACTGCTCCCCTGGCTTTCCCACAGATGGTGCCTCCACCTCCCGCGCCACTGGGCTGGCTCTGAGAAAGGAGAGGAGGCGCCATTCAAGGCTGCCTCCACCCGCACTTCCTGCCTTAGTTCATGGTGTCTGAGGCAACTGTCAGGAGACAGACGGGGGAGTTGGGGATGTGGCTTGCTGGTGTCCACCCACTAGACTGTAGGAATTCAGCAAGAACTCATCACTAATTTGTTCTTTCAAACCACCTGTGGAGAGGCATGACTTCCACTGTCGGGAAGGAAGGAGGGGCTGCATGATGCAGTCAGGGCAGGCGTGTGCACACACACACACACACACACACACACACACAGATATAAACATAGACACACACACAGACAGATACAGACACACAGATGCAAACACGAACACATAGAGAGACACATACAAGCACATACCAAGACATATACAAAAATAGACACACAGGCACAGAGAGACACACACAGACACACATAGACATACATGCTCACAGAGACAAATAGACCCATACATAGGCACACAGACACATACAGACACACACAGACATACACAGACACACGCAGGCATACAGAGACATATCTACAGACACACGTGGGCACACAGAGACATACAGGCACAGAGAGACAAATAGACTCATACACAGATACACAGGCACACAGGCACATATGTACAGATACACACAGACATACACGCAGACACACACACAGAGACATACACAGACACACAGGCACACACAGACACACATAGAGATATATACACAGACAGATACAGACACATAGAGACACATACATACAGACACACACAGAGACACACAGGCATACACACAGAAAGACACACACAAGCACACATAGGCACACACAGACACATACAGATACACATACAGACATACAGGCATGCACACATATACAACAATCCATGTAGGCAGACATACACACAGACAAATACACAGAGACACTATACAGAGTCACAGACTCATAGGCACAGGCACATCCGCACGTGCGTGCACACACACATGCATGCATGCACACACACATGCACGCACACATGCACAGAGTTTCTCCAGCTCCTGGTGTCCACCACATGAATTGCGCATTGCACAATTCTGCCCTTCTCTGCCAACACCACCTGCTCCAGGGGAGCAACCCAAGTACTGGGCAGGGTCACCTGCCCACGAGCTGATTTGCTTGCCCTTGTTGGCCCTGGCTGGCCCATGTTGATCTTGAGGGAGGGAAATTCCAGGGCCAGAGACAGGGAAGGAGTAAGAGGCAGGAGATGTCTCGAGAGGCCCCGCCCACCCCAAACCAGTCATTCCCACAGAGAACACCTTCCATCTGACAACTAGTCATTCACTTAAAACACTTTTATTTTTAAATGTTTTAAGAAGCCCTACTGTGGAGTTCCTACTTCCAGGGGACAACCATGAGTCTCATTTTGACAGCCACATTGTCCCCTTCAGTTTTTAGAGAGCTACACTTTCATCTTTCTGTGTGAACCCCCTTTTCATCATGTGCTCTTTCTGGCCCTCATCAAAGGACTTTTTCCCTCCCAGTGCTGGGTATCAAATCTGGGTCCTCACACACCAAGTGTTCTGTTTTCTGTACTGAAACCCAAATGCATGTCATACTGATTTCTGGTCTGTGATGCAGAGCTCTCCAAATGGTCACATGTGGATTTCTTGGCGTCTTCCTAGGTAATTCCCTCCGAGGGGAATTTTTCCAGGGTTAGATTTGAGGAAATTAACTTCTGGTCTCGCCCTGCTGCTAAATGAGGTGCACTGCAGTCTGCCAGAAGTTCCTGCGATTCCTCTGCCTTTTCCTTTAAAGGGGCAGCAAGGTCTTGGAGCACTCAGGACACCGCCATCCTTACCTTTCCTTATTCTGATCAACACTCAGCTCTGAGCACTCCCCAAACTCATTTAGAGCCTCCGGCAGCCCAGACCAACTGATGTGCTCACCATCTTCCCCAAGATATCACTGTCACTGTCATCACTGTCGCTGTCCTCCCGTTGTTCATTGATTTGCTCGAGTGGGCCCAGTAACATCTCCATTGTAAGACTTGTTGCTACTGTGTTTGGCATATCGAATACATCACGGGGAGCTTGCCAGGCTTTGCCGTGTGGGCAAGATAGTCTCTTGGAGAACCCCAAGATATAAACATAACAAAAATCATCGGGGAGGCACAGGGGCGGGAGAACCCCAAATAATTCTTCTTGATATCATTTTCTAGTCTATTTAACTCTAGTTATATGTAAAACATAAATCTATTCATTATATTCAACAGTACCTCCAAGCGTAGCCCTAAATATGTTAGAGACATTGTCTAATTTTTCTAAAAGGTAGTTTTACTATTTTGGGTACCTCCCAAGCAATGTTCGAAATAGGTAGGGGGCACCAAGGTCTCTGCCCGGTTTCCAAACCACCACAGTGACTCTCACAGGGCCCTGGAGTGCCATGAATTGAACCCGGTCAGTCACATGCAAGGCTGGTTCTGCTACAAGGTCATCTAAAATGTAATTCCTCATCAAGCACTATTCTATGACAGATGGTTTAGTCATATTTAACTAGCAAAGAGATTTTTTAATAAGACATTCATTGTCAATGACAATTAAATCTTTAAATGTTTATTCATTTGAATTCACTAACTTATGAACAATGGAAGACTGACCAAGGTCTCAAGAAGGTTTCCATTTGGACATCAGAATTACAGAGTCAGCTAGTAACACCTTTTTTTTTTATAATTAATATAAGAAGCACCTTATAAATATGCATTATTTTACTTCCAGATATAAATCTAGGAGAACCATTTTCTTTTTTTTTTCCTATTTGTTTGCTCTTGTATTTTTTTAATATTTTTTTATTAGTGAAACACCATGAGGTACAGTAGGAGAACCATTTTCTTATGAATTTTATTGCCCTCAAAACTAGATACAAACCCATAGTTCTAGCTTGTGAAAAAAAAATAGCCACTAAATACCAAATTATTTCAAATATATAGGTAGTTCTAGCCTAAAATTAGTACCATTTGGGATTGGGGATAAGATACTATTTGGTATGGCTTAAAAACTGTATAAATACTGTGAAGGGCTATTGTGATGACAATTTATTTAAAGTTGTGAATGAAAGTTCTTTGAATTAAACATTTTAAATGTGCTTTTTTCTCTCTTTCCCCCTCTCTCTTGTTTTTTGTTCACACCCACTGGTGCTCAGGACTTACTTCTGGCTCTTTGTTCAGGGATTCCTGGTGGGGCTCACGAACCATATGAGATGTTAGGAATGAAACCTGGTCAACTGTGTGCAAGTCAAGTGCCCTACCCACTGTACTATTGCCCCGGCCCTTCTAACTGTCACCTTGGCCCCTCTAATCTTTCTTTTAATTAATCAATCAATTAATTTTTTGGCTTTTTGGGTTACACCCTTGCTCTGCACTCAGGAATTACTCCCGGCAGTGCTCAGGAGACCATATGGGATGCCAGAGATTGAACTGGGGTCAGCTGTGTACAAGGCAAATGCCCTACCTCCTGTACTATCACTCTAACCCCTAACCTTTCTCTTTCACTGAACATTTTCCTTCATGCTTCATCCCATGTTTTTGGAAGAAAGGAGTTAGGGAAAATGACTTGGATTTTTTTATGAATTATGAGACTGGCATTTCTAATCTCCAATTACAGGTAGAGAATAAATTTCATGAAATACTTGGAAGATGGAAATCAAACTTAGGGCATTTTCATTTCCTTAAATAATAACTCTCACCACATTCCTACCAATTTAGCTTTATCCCACAAGCATGGTTCAGTTCTTGTATTCACCATGCAGCTTCTTCTTCCCAAGAGGAACGTTCCCCAGAGAAAACGGTGACTTAATATTTAGCCGATCTCTCTCTGCCTCCTCTTCCTCATTGTATCTCTCGTCCTCATCATCATCCTCCACATCACTGCTCTGAAGGCTGGAGACTTGAGAGCCTGAGGGAGAAGGTGGTACCGAGGAGGGCCTGGGGAATTTAAATCCTTCTGTCTGCAAAAGACAAAAATGGAACAAACGTGATTTTCAATGATGCAAATTCTCTGCATTGGATGTGAATGAAGAACATATATGGGCAACTTCTAGGGTTTGTTCAGTGAACCAAAAGGAAAGTTTTATTCACTTTGCTTTTGGTACCAACAAGCTCAAGATTCATTAAATAAGTAGATTTATGAAGGATTGGAAAGTGCCAGGTCTCTCTCTCTCTCTCTCTCTCTCTCTCTCTCTCTCTCTCTCTCTCTCTCTCTCTCTCTCTTCACACACACACACACACATACCACCAACACCAACACCACCAACACCACCACCATCACCACCATATAATCTTCCACCCTCTGTGATGAGACACCAAGATTTTGATGACTAAATCACCTTTTAATCCCAGCTGCCATGTCACACTGATACTAGCAATCTCTATGTCATCCTTCAGATGTGCTCAATGAACATAGGTGGCACAGACGTGACCTGGGCAGTGACCACTAGAAAGAATTTTGGCAGCCAGGCCACTTCGTTGATCATGAAATCCCACCATGTTGATACTATTTCCAGTAGATATGCAGTTATCACTGTTTTTTTTTCTTTTTTGGGTCATATCTGCTGATGGTCAGGGGTTACTCCTGGCTTTGTACTTAGGAATTACTCCTGGCAGTGCTCGGGGGACCATATGGGATGTCAAGGATAAAACTCAGGCTGATTGCATGCAAGCAAATGCCCTATTCATTGTGCTATCAGTCTGTGATACCCTTATCACTGTGTTTTTTTCCACTTATGTTTCTACCTCAGATTCACTGAATGAACTCACTTGGTGAATATAGAGAGAACACCAAAAATGGGTGAGGCACCATCACACCACTCAATCAACAGAGATCCCAAGCGTGATCCCTTCCTTACAGGCCACACACTCAGGGAAGTTGCACAAAATTCTAAAAACGTCACTTGTCACTCTGGATTTCCCGGGGTGTTAACATTAGTATGTCATACACATGCTGTTCCTTCAGAATCCATATCCTTTAACGAAAGCAGTGGAGTGTAGGATGAGCTCAGAGTGGGGGATCAGAACTTAACTAAAGTATATGAGTGGATGAAAGAGTTGAATTGTTATCAAGTGGCGCTTCCATCTCTAAATAACTAGCCATTAACAGTGGGTGCAACTACTGGAATTGTGGAAACTGGAATTGTGAATGAAGAGTTAAGAACAGTCTTCCACTTTTGATGGCAAACTTGAATTCGGTCTAATCAGTCTGTTTCTCCTGGGTGCCTGGCACAGATAGGATGTAAATTGTATTATTAAGAAAAGCTGTTTTGCATAGAAATGACAGTTGAATTAAATGGGACTATAGATATTTGATGAGAATCCCTCGCTTTGGGGAATCCCTACATGAAAGAACTCCTGTGGGCTCTGTCCTGGGGTTCTCTGTAAGCTTGGTTGTGGAGACTAACATGAGACGCTGGTTCCTGTGAGACATGGAAACCCAAAGCAATAATGGGTTCATGGGATCTCTCTCACATAAACTGTCCCCGAGTAGACATGATCCCATGAGGAAAAGAGAGGTACCCTGATCCTGCAATCACTTTATATTGCACACATATATCCATGACTATGTATAGATTACATATATGTATACATATATGTCTCGATATATTAATCAAACAGGTAATCACACAGTATTTTAGGAGACCCGTGCATTATCCATTAGGCTACTGGAGAGTCTTGTATTTAATACTTTCTTGAATAGTGAATTTATTTCCTATTATGCTCATAGGCTTGTTATTTAACAATCTCAAAAAGCTGGATGTTCGATGGAGCAGCTTCAAGCAGTAAGACCTAGAGAACTGTAGCATAGAGGTGCTTCTTCAGTCATACAAAGCAGGGAACTGAGCAATATTACAGTGTGAAGGGCATTTGCCTTGCACTCAGCCGACCTGAGTTTGATCCCCAACATCCCGTTTTGTCCCCCGAGCACCACCAGGAGTAATTCCTGAGTACATAGCCAGTACTAACCCCTGAGCATAACTGGGTGAGGCCCCCAAAATAATAACAAAAACAATAATATAAAACAGCTAGCTGCTCATTCTGAAGTAAGGCTCACTCCGGGGTTTAAATGAGTCTAGTTTGTCAGTTCTTTTAGTCCTTGACAAAAAATTTATTGAAGAGTATTATAGTATATGTTCTTAGATGTCTTCAAATAAAAAAGTAGTTTTTGGACTTGCTTGAATTCAGAAATTTAGCTGCCCCCACACCTAGCTGTCCTCACCGGGGCCCCTTGGAGGCGGGTGGGTTGAGTTCCCCGGCAGCTGAAGACATCTGGAACCAGCCACAGCCATGCTTAAGACCACTCTCCACATGTTTGGATGAGCCTCACGTATGAAGGAACTGGCAGAGGAACCCAGGTGTGCGGGACCCGGGGTTGAGATCTCCATGCCTGCTTGGATCGGGACTGGGCCTTCTCCACCCAGATCCCCCATCTTCCAGTAGCTAAGCATTATACCCACCAACTGACCCCAGCGCCATGTTATCCCATCAATGGCTAAGACCCAGGGACTATAAAACCCAGCTCTCAGAAGCCTCTTATTGTCTAGTTCTCACTCTTGGAGAACCCGACAAGCTACCGAGTGTATTCTGCCCGCATGGCAGAGTCTGGCAAGCTCCCCATGGCATATTCAATATGCATGCCAAAACCCAGTAACAATGATGGGTCTCATTCCTCTGACCCTGAAGGAGCCTCGAATGTGACACTTTCTACAATCTCAGGGCTAGGACGAATGGAGATGTTACTGGTGCCTGCTCGAGGAAATAGATGAACAACAGGATGACAGTGACACAGCGACACAGTGAGCTTTTAAAATGAACGATACATAGATATTTACCGTTGGTGGTGATGTGGGTTCCATATGGAATTTTTCTGGAAAAGCTCGGCTTAATGTCAGGTGCCTGGCATGCTGGTAATACTAAAATAGAAAATCAATTCACAGGTTTAAAAACAGGTTTATACAAATAAAGGGTGTTGGGAGGATCCTCCCAGGATGGGAGAAGCATGCTGAAAGTAGACTACAGACCAAACATGATTGCCACTCAATGCCCCTTTTGCAAACCACAACACCCAAAAGGAGAGAGAGAACAGAGGGGAATGCCCTGCCACAGAGGCAGGGTGGGATGGGGGAATGGGAGGTGGGAGGGATACTGGGACCCGTGGTGGTGGAAAATGGGCATTGGTGGAGGGATGGGTACTTGATCATTGTATAACTGAAAGCCAAGCACAAAAATTTGTAAGTCTACAACTGTACCTCATGGTGTTTCACTAATAAAAAATTTTTTAAAAAAACAGGCTTATAAGCCAAATCTTAATAACCAAGGTATTATATATCATATCCTCCTAGGTATGAAACAGACTTTATAAACGTGGCAGGCCCAATTTACCAGAATCAGAAAACAAAACCAGTTTATCATTTCATTCCTGTTCTGGGTACAGATGAAGAAATGCTCCCGGAGGCCAGAAGGAAGCTCCAAACTAGCCTGACTGAGTTATGAATGGATTACTTAGGTCACCAAAAACACAGTGTGCAGAGATTCTCAGCCAATGGGAATGGCTGTTGTTTGGCGGAGCTGAGCAGTTTTCCTGTCAATGATATGTGAAGACAAAGTTGACTCATTTTATTTAATAATCCAATGCAAGATATGTGCGCATCTCAGTGTCTATAAATGCGATGTACATCTGAAAGGAGTTGTGTCTTGGACTGTGCACGATGCAAACAGTTTTATTCCCTATATTCCCAGAATTGTTACTCCCAGGAGCTGAGGAGTGTGACCACATTGTCTTCCTCGAGTGACGCTAAACAGCTAAAACTGCTCTTTTCCTCACCTTCCTCAAACATTCCTGTGTTCCTACAAGGCATCAAGAACATCTAGAACCAGTCAGATCCCACTAGGGCTAGCAGGAATGGGCTCAGGCTTGATGTGAGTACCAGGACTTGTAAAATTTATCTTACGTAAAAAAGTTTGCAGGAAAACGTTGCTGACACATGGACAGTTCTGATACTGAGCTGACTTTACAGCTTTTGCCAGGAGGCTTTTGCAAATGTTTCTCTAGCCGGGGGCCCCTTGGAGGGGAGCAGGTTGAGTTTCCCTCCCCGCCCTAACTAGGGCTCTGGCAGCCAAAGACCTCCAGAACCAGCCACCACCATGCTGAGACCACTCTCCACACGCATGAAGGTACCGGCAGAGGAACAAAGGCATGTGGGTCCCGGGGCTGAGATCTCCAGGCCTGCTTGGATCGGAGCTGAGCATCCTCCACCCAGATCCTCCAAATTCCAGTAGGCAGGGGTCACACCCACCAACTGGCCCCCTGGTGCTGTGTAATCCCATCAATGGCCAAGACTCAGAGACTATAAAACCCAGCTCCCGGAAGCGACATCTTATTATCTCATTCTTGCTTTGGACATCCTGGCAGGCTACCGAATGTAACCTGCCCACACGGCAGAGTCTGGCAAACTCCCCGTGGCGTATCCAATATGCCAAATACCAGTCACAATGATGGGTCTCATTCTCCTAACTGTGAAAGAGCCTTGAATATGGCACTTAAAAAAATCTTAGGGCTAGGACGAAGGAGACGTTACTGGGGCCTGCTCGAGGCAATCGACGAACAACAGGATGGTCATGATCGTGATCGTGATCTCTGCAAATAGCACAAACTTGCTTACTCTGCCTAAATATCTCCAGTCCAAAAGATCTGAGAGCCTCTCGGTCCGGTTCCTTTGAATGATTCTTTGGCGGCGTGACTGTTTGCAAAACCCATAAAGAAACTGAGTCAGCTGATTGCAAGAGTCATCTGGTGAGCGGAAGCGCCGGTCCACGATGTAGATACCTGTAAAGGCACAAAAAACAAGATAGGTTGGGAGCTGGACTCACCTGGACGCTTCCCCCTGATGTCCCATCACTGCCTCTGCCTGGTGCACTTCCCTTCTGCCTTCATCACTGCCTCTGCCCCAACCCCAGATTCTTCCACTACCCTCAGTTTGTGTTTCCAAAGCTCTACTCTTCTTGACATCTGAATGGTTTATAACTGCAAGGACATGGAGAAGGGGTCTTGCTGAAAGCCACTGGCAGTGTAGGAGTATAACCAGCATCTCTGGGATGAGACTTGGGCATCAGTGATTTTTAAGGTCCCTGTGGTTCCCAGGGAACAGGATAGTGACAATGTTCTTCAAAGACCAAGGAACTGACCATGTGGGCAGAGACTCTATCCATAATCACTCTCCTTGGTGAACATATATATACGGGGATATGCAAATTCTCCTGTCATCTTATACAAGTTCATTCTGCTAACAGGGAACAGAGATTTTAGATATTTATGCCAACCAATATCCAGACTCTAAGGTGAGGGCTACTGTGTTATCACTGCTGGATCTCAGAGGGTTAGACCAAGTCAGGGAAAGAAGCGAAGGGTAAGAGAGTTTTGTGCAGACTTAGCTTCCTTTTATAACGTCCTTCAGGCAGTTTTCTGATGTCGAGAGTCGTTCCTGAAGGCCACACAGGGTTACTTTGAGTGAAACAAGAAGCATACGCACTATCATCAGGACAGCCTCAGAGTCAGATTCCGTAAAGCCAGGGGACCCTTCTCAATGAGTTAGATTAATGGGGAAGGACCTTACCATACGCAGTAGGGTCAGCCACGTGTTCTTGCATGAAGCAGCCAAAGCCAGAGAGGTTGGTTGTCACGCTGGGGATACCCATCACAGTGCATTCAGCTGCCAGGGGAAGGGACAAAGTTCAGACCAGCTCTCCTCACCTCTTAAGAACACCGGGAGAAACTAGTCCCCAACCAAATGGCAAGAGCAATGCTCACTTAGCACCTAACCAATTTCGAAGGGGCTGAAAGTGGCTAAGTTGCTTGCCTTGCACATGGCAGACCCGGGTTCAATCTCCAACACCTCATATGATCACCTTAGCACTCCAGCACTGGTTTCGAAGCACAGATAGAACCTGGGTGTGGATGATTCAACCTGGGTTGGCTGTGTGCAAGGCAAACGCCCCACCCGCCGTACTAACGTTCCCACCCAATTCCAGATATGTCTTAAGAAACATTCCTGGACCCAACTAGTACAACGATAAAGGCACTTTCCCTTAAGGCAGCTGACCTGGTTCAATCCCTGGCACTCCATGGTCCCTGAGTACCACCAAGAGTGACCCCAAGCACCCCTCTCCCCAAAATAAATATTCCTACTCTCAGGAATATCTGTATTTTTTCAAGGTGAAATCACAGGTTCTTTTTTCTTTCTCTTTTCCATCTTATTGATAAACTATGTCTCCCAATTTTTTTATTAAAAACTGTCATGTCCACCCCAGCACCCAGTCTGCTTCTATGCCAGACACTTTTCTCCCCTCCCACCCCCCCCCCACTCTCTCTCTCTCTCTCTCTCTTCTCTCTCTCTCTCTCTCTCTCTCTCTCTTCCTCTCCTTTTGGTCATTCTGCAAGGTGGGAGGGGGGTGGAAGGAGGGAAGTTGGAGACACTGGTGGTGGGAAATATACACTGGTGAAGAGATAGATGTTGGAACATTATAAGACTGAAACCAAATCATGGACAACTTTGTAACTGCTTATCTCACAGTGATTCAATTAAAACAATTTTTTAACTTGTCATTTTTTAATAAGACACTGTAGCACTGTAGCACTGTCCTCCGTTGTTCATCAATTTGCTCGAGCGGGCACCAGTAACGTCTCCATTGTGAGACTTGCTGTTACTGTTTTTTGACCTATCAAATACATCACGGGTAGCTTGCCAGGCTTTGCTGTGCAGGAGGGATAATCTTGGCAGCTTGCCGGGCTCTCCAAGAGGGACGGAGGAATTGAACCCGGGTCGGCTGCATGCAAAGCAAATGCCCTACCTGCTGTACTATCGTTCCAGCCCACTTTAATAAGACAAAATAGCAAAATTCATTTTAAAATATTTGCATATTTAACAAGAAATTTTTTCTTGATTATGAAATCATTCTTGATTGTCAGGGTGGTGGAGTAAGAAAAATTGCCCGCGAAGAAATGCTATGCAACAGTCAGATTGTCCCTGATTTGCTTTGGTATTCTTTATTCTTAAAGGAATCTTCCTAAAGCTGTAGAGGTCAGTGGCTACCTAATTTGGGGGGGGGGGGGGGCGGGGGAGAGCGGAGGGAAATGGGACAGGGGACTACTGACCTATTAGACAATCTGACAAAAACTCTGAAACTACCCCTTGGACAACTCTTCGTCAATCTATGCACACAAAATTTCATCCACAGAGCCATGGAAGTTCACAGGTCATTATTTTTATCAAATAGTCACTAATACACAAGTAGTAAAGTGCCAGGTTCCACTTAAGTATGTCTCCAATTGTTCAGTCATAAATTTAATAAAGCCGTGCTTATACTCATCAGATTTTCTCAAAACACAGACTTTATTATTTTCTGGGGGAAACATACTTAGTTATCATGTAAAATATTATTTTAAAAATTAGTCATCTAATGTGATAATACCAAATTTATACTATCTAATGTGATAATACCAAATGTATACTTTAAAGGTCTCCATTATTTCTGGAAATACAGGTTAGATGACAAGTGCCCAAGTTCTGGTTAATTTAAAACAGAGTAACTCATTTACAATGGAGTTCTTATCAAATTCCTTCTCTGTCTACTTAACTTTTATAACACCTTTGCAGGTCTTTATCTTAAAACATGAGATACAGCCTCCCCTCCTTATCATTTCCTGATAACTTTAATTATATCCTATAAAAAGATATTTTGGTGAAAAGTTGACTGCAAGTTGTATAAAATTCTCTTTATTCACCCTAAAGTACTTCACACATTTTCTCAGTTACTCATGCTTTGGATTTAGGCAGCTCTATTCTTGAAACATTCTTGATAATAAGGTGTGTGATTTCCTTGATATAACAAGAAAAGGGGCCAATGATGAGGCATGAAGTTTATCAGTGATGTGTGTTTTATGTTCCTCAAGTAATAAAGCTCCATTATAGGGAATGTAGGATAATTATGTGGGCAAGTCATTAAAAATGAGATACCATGTCACAAAAAAAATGGAATCAATGAAGTAGAAATTTTTAGAATCACAAAAATTTCTTTCCTTTCTCTCTCTTTTCATAAGGTAGGGAATTGAACCCAGGGTTTCTCACAGACATCATCTATATGCTGCCACCGAACCATCTCCCTGCCTCTTCATCACTTCTCCATACCAGGTTTCAAAATAAGTCTTTGTTCGTTTATGCCAAAAATTGTAATAATTTTATAGCTTCTGGCTATTATCTGGTTCTTAGTGAAACCCAGATATATCAAATTGAACCTCATGACACAAAGACACTGAGGGTTCCTATCACTTCTATTGCATTATCTGGAAGTTTACTTATAAGACAAAGAATTTCTGGGGCTGGAGAGATAGCACAGTGGGTAGGGCGTTTGCCTTGCATGCGGCTGACCCGGGTTCGATTCCCAGCATCCCATATGGTCCCCTGAGCACCGTCAGGAGTAACTCCTGAGTGCAAAGCCAGGAGTAACTCCTGTACATCGCCAGGTGTGACCCAAAAAGCAAAAAAAAAAAAAAAAGACAAAGAGAATTTCTAAGTGTTATTTAAATATTTATATTTAAATAATAAATATATTTAAAATCCCAGGAACAGAAATCAAAGATTAGCTACATCCTTTCCACAATGCAGTCTATGATTCCCTAACATGACCTCTGCCTTCCCTTACTTGGAAAATGATAACACTGAGATATGGAAGGCAAAATTTGTTCATTAAAAAACAAAAGCGCTTTTGCTTTGTCCTTTAAAAAAAATTATTGATGGAGAGCCAGAAAGACAGGACAGGAGGTAAGGCACTTTCCCTGCATGTGGCCAACCCCAGTTCAATCCCCACCAACACATATAGTCCCCCAAACAACTTCAGGAGCATAGAGCCAGAAGTAAACATTTATGTATGACAAAAAATATCCAATATTAATATGATATTAAATTAAATAACAAATGGAGTCATATTCAAGCTATAATGAAAACAAATCTCTGATTATACAAGAAGAGATGGAAGTTCATTATAGTATCTACATTGGTATGTACTTAAAAGTGTTTGCTTCCTTTTTCAATTAGGCATTTCAATACAAATACAAATCATTCTTGATGCCAAAAAATAGTGGATTCTAGTATCTATGATCTGTTAAAAATCAGGAAAGTGGGAAGGTTGGTTGAGGGTGGTCACTGATCACAATACCTATCAGTGAGTTGGTGTTTTATCTTAAATCACTTCTCTCAAGGGATAGGATGTGAACAAGACATTTTACTTTTTATACTATTTGATTTTTTTACATTTTTTGTTTGCTTTATTTTTAGACTGTTTGATTTTTACACTATTTGATTATATATTTTTGCTTTGTTTTGTTTTTAGACTATTTTATTTTCTATTTTGCTCTGTTTTCTTTGGGGCCGGACCCTGCTGACTACCGATCCAGGCCTACTCCTGTCTCTGTGCTTATAGGTCTCTCCTGGAGGTGCTCAGAATCCCAGGAGCTGAACCTGGGTTGGCCCCTGTAAGACAAGCACCTTTCCTGTTGTACTACCTCTCTGACATGCTATTTGATTCTTTCACCATGTGAACATGCTACATACTAAAAGTTAAATCTCTTGGTCCAGGAGAATAACACAGGGGTCACAGGGACAAGCATATGTCGGACCAATCCCTGGCCATAGCATGAGCCACCAAAAACCACCGGTGCTAGCATTGAACAGTCCATCCCAGTTGACTAGAGCTAGAGTCACTCCTGGCCTTCCTAAATACTGCTCAGAAGCACCTACCCCCAGTTAAAATTAAACATATCTCTTTTTAGAGTATTCTGAAAATTTGGGGGAACCATTATGTTGGACAATTGTTTCCCATAACTTTACTTGCAGAGTCATTTTCTCCTGACATTTACAGATGGATTGTAAATATAAATGAAGCTAACTAAACTATGTATAACCTTTACAAAACATTCTTTTTCTTTGGAATGCAGTTAGGTGGTAAGTACTAAAATATGCCCAAGCATTTCTGGTATATTTACATAATCTTTGTCCTTATTTTTAGGGCAGGACCTACAAAGTGTAAAATTAACTCCTGAGAGATATCCAGCCAAAAACACTTTTAAAGCAAACTACAAAACTAAAGCCTTCGTTGCTGTTACAGATCAGCACTGAGTGTTATATCCACACGTACCAAAGAAAATGATGATGAAATTCAAAACATTTCACTGTCGGTACATGTCACATACCTGGAGTATAACCCCAGGGCTCATAGTATGACGGAAATACTCCAAGATGACAACCTCGAACAAACTCTTCATAATCCATGGGTAATAAGGGACTGGTGGAAGAGAGGAACTCGGGGTGCAAAATCACCTAGAAAGAAAGAAAGAAAGAAAGAAAGAAAGAAAGAAAGAAAGAAGAAAAGTAAAATTCTAATAATGAAATTCTAATTTCTAAAATTCTAATGCTTTGCATGCAGGGGGGAGGGTTGAGTTTCCCTCCTCGCCCCAAGCAGAGCCCCGGCAGCCGAAGACCTCCAGAACCAGCCACCACCACGCTGAAACCACTCTCCACAAGCATGAAGGTACCGGCAGAGGAACAAAGGCATGAGGGTCCCGGGGCTGAGATCTCCAAGCCTGCTTCAGATCGGGGCTGAGCATCCATCCTCCACCCAGGTCCTCCATCTTCCAGTAGGCGGGGGTCACACCCACCAACTACCCCCCCCAAGCCGCCCCCTCCCGCACTGTGTAATCCCATCAATGACCAAGACCCAGAGACTATAAAACCCAGCTTCCGGAAGCATGTGGCCGCGAATGAACATCTTATTATCTCATTCTTGCTTTGGACATCCTGGCAGGCTACCGAATGTAACCTGCCCACACGGCAGAGTCTGGCAAACTCCCTGTGGCGTATTCAATATACCAAATATCAGTAACAATGATGGGTCTCATTATCCTAACCCTGAAAGAGCCTTGAATGTGGCACTTTTTAGAATCTCAGGGCTAGGACAAAGGAGATGTTACTGGTGCCTGCTCGAGGCAATCAATGAACAACAGGATGATCGTGATCGTGATCGTGATCATGACCGTGATCGTGATCGTGATCGTGCATGCAGGAGCCCAGGGTTGCAGCCCTAGTACTGCATGATTCCCCCAAGGCTGCCAGGTGCTCCAGCTAGCTCAGAGGTGAGAGGCAGCCCTTGAAAATTAAAACAATCGCCTACAATTTGCAGAATTGTGTAGAATTCTAGATTTAGGGGAGATCAAAAGAGACAAGAAAAAGGGGTTAGAGGGATAGTACCGTGGGTAGGGTGCTTGTCTTGCACACGCCTGACGTGTGTTCAACCACCTGTCCATCTGGGTTCAACAACTGCACCAAAAGTGTCGAGCAAGATTGGAAATGTTGCAGAGACTGAGCATGTGCTGATGCAGGGAGGATGTAGGACTTTCATACTTTCTGTGCAGTGTCGAATGAAACCAAAGTCCTCAAAACGTAAAGTCCAGAGGACAGAGAGGAGAGCAGGAAGGGGACATTCCTTGCACATAGCTAAACTGGACTCAATCCCTGGCACTGCATGTGGGCCCCAGAGCCCTGCCAGGAGGATCCCTGGGAGCAGAGCCAGGAGTAAGTCCTGATCACCGCCAAGGGTGGCCCCCAAGCCAAAATAAAACATTTTCTACATAACATATATATTACTCCTTACTGCAAATTCTCTTATCAATTCTCCTAAACTGTTTTCATTCATTTTTGCCAAGATCTTGTATTTGTAATCACCCTATGGTTTAAGTGGATGACTAAATGTAGTTCTGAGTAAGCACTGGTTATTCCTTTGTTAATTAGTGGAAGAAAGGAAATACAGAATAAATATTAGTATTTCATAGCCTCATCAGTATCAGCAATACAACTTCTACTTTTTGGGGTGTCATAGAGTGATGATCACCACAAAAAGTAGAAGCCCTATGGGGATGATGGGCTGAACTTGGTGATGGTCATGGTTTACTCCTGGTTCTAATCTCAGGAATCACTCCTGGTAGTACTCAAGTAACATATGTGGTACCAGGGGATCGATCCAGGGTAGGCACGATTAAGGCAAGTGCCTTAACCCTTATACTATCTCTCCAGAACTTGCTTGGACATTCGTTTTGCACGCTAGAAAAATATCTCATGATTTTGAACCAATTACCACCAGTTTTCATGGGCTACTAGGGTCCTTGGTAATGCAATGCAAAGAAGAACAGAAGAACGTGACTTTTAGGGGAAGTGATGAACAGAACGGCTACTCCACTGAGAGAAACACTCTCCTCTTTCTCCTAGTCATTCTCAGATTCCCACGGAATGACTAGGAGTTTTGCCTGCCTCCACCACAGCTAAATACTGTCACTGTAAGCTCTGTCCTCCCGTTGTTCGTCGATTTGCTCGAGCGGGCCCAGTAACGTCTCCATCGTGATACTTGTTGTTACTGTGTTGGGCATATCAAATACGTCACGGGGAGCTTGCCAGGCTTTGCCATGCAGTGTAGCTTGCCGGGCTCTCTGAGAGGGGCAGAGTAATCTAACCTGCTCGGCCAGCCAGCTGCGTGCAAGGCAAATGCCCTACCGCTGTGCTATCGCTCCAGCCCACCAGAGCTAAACAGTTATTGAAAACAAATGTAAGGGGCCAGAGTGATGGTGCAATGGGTACAGCACTCGCCTTGCAAGAGACTGACACCTGCATAGTGGTGGTTTCCTGCAGGCCCAAGGATCAAGCCTGAGTGTCCTGGACACAAAGCTGTGCTCCAGTCCTTTACAATACTTTTCTTCCTTACATTTAACTTTATTTTAATTTCTTTATTGATTCATTGGTTTGGAGGCTACACCCTATCCTGCTCAGGCATTACTCCTGGTTTGTGCTATGACAAAGCTGATGATTTTTTTGCTTTCATCTCTTGATTAAACTCAGGTAATTCTGACTTCCTTATGGTTGTTATTCTGTCTCCCCCAGAGTGGAACTGTTCAGGGAGGGAAAGAGAAAAGGGAAAGAAATAAGAAGGGTGAAAAGAAATCCTTTTTGTTTTGTTTTTAACAAGCCCACTACTCCTTGACTTTTTTAATTCATGAAATACGGGCTGGAACTATATCCCGGAGAGGCAAAAAAGTACAGTCGAAATGACATCTTCACTTCTATGTTCACTGCTGCACAGTTCACAATAGCCAAGATCTGGAAAAAAAAAAAACCCGAGTGCCCGAGAACAGATGACTGGTTAAAGAAACTTTGGTACACCTACGCAATGGAGTACTATGCAGCTGTTAGAAAAGATGAAGTCATGAAATTTACATACAAGTGGTACTACATGGAAAGTATCATGCTAAGTGAAATGAGTCAGAAAGAGAGGGACAGACATAGAAAGATTGCATTCATCTGGGGAATATAAAGTAACAAAATAGGAGACTAATACCCAAGAATAGCCGAGGTAAGTACCAGGAGGTTCACTCCCTGGCTTGAAGGCCAGCCGCACATGCTGGGGGGAAAAGGCAGCTCAGATAGAGAAGGGAGCACCATGTAAAGAGTGTTGGGAGGATCCTCCCAGGATGAGAGATGCGTGCTGAAAGTAGACTATAGATGGAACATGATTGCCACTCAATGCCTCTTTTGCAGACCACAGCACCCAAAAGGAGAGAGAAAGAGAGAGAGAGAGAGAGAGAGAGAGAGAGAGAGAGAGAGAGAGAAGAAAAGGGAATGCCCTGCCACAGACGTTGGGTGGGATTGGTGGGGGATGGGCAGTAGGAGGGATACAGGGATCAGTGGTGGTGGAGAATGGGCACTGCTGGAGGGATGGGTATTCGATCATTGTATAACTGAAACCCAAGCACAAAAAGTTGTAAGTCAACAACTGTACCTCATGGTGTTTCACTAATAAAAATTAAAAAAAAAAATAAGGGCTGGAAATGGGCACCCTAGGGAGCGGGGGGTGGGGCAGAGTTTCCACTCTGGTAAAGCCCAAGCTGGCGCACCCACACCACAGAGCTGATGCCATGTCAAACGCCCAACCCCACTGTTTCTGAACTAATCTCTGCAGAGACACTAAATTTCAGGTACACTTGCTTTCAGGCTGATAGTTCTGGACTCTTCTCTGAAAAGGCGTGGGCAACCTCCCTCTATCCTCGTCCTGTACTGCCAGAAGACCTGGCAGCCACACTCACATCCTACAGCCACTGCTACATAAACTCACTGGCCCAGTTCTATAGGAATGCCAATTGGGCTCAAGAATACAGCCTTTCACCCCCACCGGAGGAAGTGGGCCGGCCAGCCCTTCCTGGATCCCCTCTGACTGATACGGGTGGCTCTTCCGGGCTGGCACACCGGGCAGTAGCACCACCCGAAGGAAGCAGCAGACACACAGCTGCTGCCGCTCCTCTGCGCGGGACACCACTGAATGTAGGGGCAGCCAAGCTGCCCCTGAGACCGACTGTCACAGGCGGTGGACTGAACGCCAGGCCAGACAGGCCCATAGCAGAAGACGCTGGGGATCTTTGCTGCCCACTCCCCCAGGCCACCACCCCGCCCTCTGTGGACAGGACAACAGGCCCCAACTTCACGACGGAGTACCCTGCTCTCGGTCGACCCGAGTTCGATTCCTTCACCCCTCTCGGAGAGTCCGGCAAGGTACCGAGAGATCCCGCCCGCATGGCAGAGCCTGGCAAGCTCCCCGTGACGTATTCGATATGCCAAACACAGTAACAACAAAGTCTCCAGTGGAGACGTTACTGGGCCCGCTCGAGCAAATCGATGAACAACGGGAGGGCAGTGGCAGTGGCAGTTCTATAGAGCCAGGAGTTCCTAGAAAGTGCATGGCCACATATGTGGATACTTGACCCCTCCACATCCTGCAATACTGACATGCTGGTCGAAACACACCAAACTGGATAGGAAAGTCACGTAGGAGCCAATCAAGCTCATTAACAAAAGCAGGAACACAGAAGCTCAACTAACAGCAAACAGCTCCATAAGCCCTCAATGAGCCCATGGTGGGCTATAACAATTTTCACAAATTTTCTCTTATTGTAGTATTTTTAAAAATAATTTCATTTGCCATTTAGTTGTAACAAACAATATAAAATACATTATTTTGTACCTGCCAAGGGGCAGGCATGTGGGGAGTGGGGGGAGGAAATGGGGACAAGGATGGAGGGAAGGTCACACTGGTGTTGGAACTGATGTTGGAACATTGCATACCCGGAAAAACTGTCTTATGAACAACGTTGTAAACTGTGGTTTTTAAATAAAAGAAAAAACTAGGGCTGGAGTGATACTACCACAAGTAGGGCTTTTGCCTTGCACTCGACCAAGCCAGGTTTAATCCCTGGCAACCCTCACCCCCTCGCCCCCCACTATCC